TGGACATAAAACACATTTATTGGAGCTAATTTACACCATGGAGCCCATATGTAAAAAACTATAATAGATGTAACAGTGTCTGTGAAGCCAAAGAAATAACTGACAAGAAATAACTGTTTGAAGTTAGAGATTTTAAGAACATGTTTAGCGGGATCTTGTGCCAGTACAGAGCGTGACATCACTGCGCTGCTTAGCTGTTGTTAATAAACTTACATTAGTTTATCTTAGTTAACTAGTGACAGAAGTGATATCTCAGTAGAAAACAAGGACACTAAAACAAACAAACAAACAAACAAAAAAAATTGTCTTAAAAAAACTCTTTGTGGCAGCCCCTGGCATGTTTTATGTCGAACGTGATTGGAAGTCCTGACAGCATGTCAGCATGAAAAAAAACAACAGTGTTTACAATCGAACTTCACTTTTCCTCACTTCTATTGTTAAGAAATACGCTCAGTGAGATAATGTGAGATAATGATTTCTAAATCTAAATAAGAAATTAAGGTTTCCAAAAAGTGTGGCAATCAATCATGTAGGCAATCTTTTCCCTGTGGACATGCTGATGGATGTTAGGATTCCCGATCACACTTCGGTGAGAAACTTACTTACATTTATGGTGTGATGCGCATATGGTAATCAGTTGTGCCATAAACTGTCTACATGTGTGCTAATCGCTAACTAGCAGACAACTAAAAACTACTTCTTAAGAGATGGAGCCTTGTTTTCTTTTCTTTTGTTTTTAACATAAAGCTCATTGCAGACAAGTTTGGGAGCAATCATTATAAATAGTTTTAGTTCTAGTGTCCTTGTTTTCTGTTGAGAATTGGTCACTAGTTAGCTGACACTGAAATTAACCAGTAACGTGTCTTACTATAATAAGAAACAAGAGAACGTTTGGATTTCTTCTAATTTAGCAGATTTCTTAACATGTGAGAAAGAGAAATTTCTGCCACTGTTACACAAAAACAAGACAGTTTATTATTATCGTTGCTGTATGTGCAATGTGTTTACCAAGAAGATGCGTTTACTCTCATGCTAGTGCAATGAAACATTATTCTGTGTCAGGGGTTCTGTCGTGGATGAGAAGGAGGACCCAAACGCTGGACTCACAGGTAGGTAGGTGAAGGTTGGTGTTTTATTGTCGATGGAGTGAACAAATAGAACAGAGGTAGGAAATGGCTGGCTGGACGACTGAATGAATGAAGGACTGACTGACTG